AAATGTAACATTGAAAGCATTTTGGAAATAAAAACCACAACAGAAACGGTAAGAAGTATAGATATGTCTGAAAAAAAGAATCAGTGACTTGGAAGATGGGCTTGAGAAAATAGAGAAGCCTGAGGTAAAGGAAAGACAATGAGTTGAGATGATAGATATAAGGAGAGGTGACTCAAAATATGGCACCCATCAACCCTTCTTGGAAAAGTTACTTGCAAAATTGAGAAAATCAAAAGGCAGTCTAAGATAAAGAATTTAAGAATGGGAAAGACACTGCCTCCTTAATGGATCGTTGGTGAGCAGTGAATCCTTTAAATATCAAACTAAGGTAATCAATAGCAAGAATTATTACAAGAATTATTACAATGAGTTGCAGGGTTGACATCATCAATGTAAACAATCAATCAGGTGGTCCAGGAGGGCAAGCTGGGCATCTCAGAGGCACCAGCAGTGGGGTGTTCATGGGCGGAGTCACCAAGGTACAATTTGGCATTATTCCTGTCTGCAGAGGTGCATTTGGCCCTCTGATCTGTCCAGAGATTCTGTGAGCTTCCCTTTAAAAAAATTTATTTTTCTGCTTAAATTAGCTAGAGTGGATTCTGTTGTTTGTCATTGACACTCTGTCTGATAAGCCCTTCAAATAACATTTAAGAAACACAGGTGTGTGGTCAAAGTGGTAAGTGTGAGGGGAAAACAGTGCTCAGTTGGTAGGAATGTTGTTCCAACCTTTTGAAAGGGCAATTTGGAAGTGTTGATGAAAATTTTAAACATAAATCCCCGTGACCCAGAAATTGTACTTCTATTCTAGGAACTTCTCTTACATATTTAAACACACTTTCATCACTCAACAAGTCTATACTAAAAACTACTAGGCCCTGGAGATACTGCAATAAACAAACAAATCCCTACTCTCAAAAAAAAAAAAAGAAAGAAAAATCCTTACTCTCTTGGAACTCACATCCTGAGGTGGAATGGTAGAGAGAAAACAGATAGTAAAGAAGGTAACACTTCAAAGATACAATATGTTAGAAGGTGAAAAGTGCTAAAGGGAAAGGAGAATGCAGGAAGGGGAACCAGGAGGTGTACTTAGTAATTTGTGACCAGGGAAGATGTTCATGTGAGTAAAGACTTGAAAGAGGTAAAAGATTAAGTCTTATGGTATTTGGAAGAAAAGAGTTACGAAAAGAGGAGATGGCAAGTGCAAAGGCCCTGAGGCAGAAGCATACATGGCACATAAAAAAATAGGCCACTAGGAAGCTAGTGTGGCTGGAGCAGAGTGGGATATGGTTCAGAGAGGTAATGGCTTTGGGGGCAGACAGTATAGCTTTATAGGCCATTGTAGGGATTTTGGTTTCTCTCTGAATTTGAGAAGGAAGCCACTGGGAAGTTTTGAGCAGAGAGGGATAATATATGACCTGACATTTTAACATGACTATTCCAGCTGCTGGATTGAAAGAGGGCAGGACAGGGAGCCATTCAGGAGGCTATTCAAATAATCCAATCAACAAATGGATAGTGGCTTGGAGTTGGCAGGATGGGAAGGTAGCAGTAGAGTGGGGAGATGTGGTCAGCTTACAGGAATGGGCCAAAGTGTAGGGACAAAGATGTTCAAGGCAATGTTGTTTGTAATTGTGAAAAACTAAAAATAACCTAAATGTTTAGTAACAGAAGGCAGGTTAAATAATTAACCAGGTTAAATTATGGTAATTTTTTTAACTTAAAAATTATAGGGGTGCCTGGGTGGCTCAGTCAGTTAAACATCCGATTCTTGATTTCCTTCGGCTCAGGTCATGATCTCAGGGTTGTGAGATTGAGCCCTGAATCGGGCTCCGTGTTGGGCATGGAGCCTGCTTAAGATTCTCTCTCTCCCTCTCCCTCTGCCCCTCTCCCCAAAAAATGAAAATAAAAGTAAAAAATAAAAAATAAAGAGGGCACTTTTTATGATGAGCACTGGGTGTTGTATGTAAGTGATGAATCACTGAATTCTACTCTAGAAAACAATATTGCACTGCATGTTAACTACCTAAAATTTAAATTTAAAAAACCTGCAGTAGTTGAAAGCATGTATATTTTTTAATTAAAAATCTAAGCAAATAAACTCATTTTTTTAAAGATTTTATTTATTTATTTGACAGAGAGAGACACAGCGAGAGAGAGAACACAAGCAGGGGGAGTGGGAGAGGGAGAAGCAGGCTTCCTGTGGAACAGAGAGCCCAGGACCCTGGGATCATGACCTGAGCCAAAGGCTTAACGACTGAGCCACCCAGGCGCCCCGAATAATACTCATTTTTAATGCTATTCAATTTCAGCAAAGAGGGATATGATGCAGTTTCAACAAAAGCATGTTTTTGGACCATGAAATCATTTTGTTTGGTAATTAAAAATGCAAACCTAGAAGCATTGAAATTAGAGTTTCTTATTTTAAAAAGAGTCAAACAAATATGCACCTGCATTTGTCAAACTAGGGTACTGTAATTCATGACTAGTCACTACAAAGCACATACTTCTATTATTTTTTTATTATTTATTTATTTTTAAGTAAACTGTAGGCTCAACATGGGGCTCAAACTCATAACCGGGAGATCAAAAGTGGCAGGCTCTATGGACTGAGCCAGCCATGCGCCTCTCTATTCTTTTTTTAAAAACAATTTTTGGTACAGCAGATATAGTCTAGAAATTGAGGAAACAAGATACTAGACAAGTGATGGTTTTTACTTAAAGATTGGCTTTGCTGTTACAAAGCATCTAAGATCTGAATAGGCAAAAAAATTTGTCTAAGGGATGAAACTGGAAAGTGGATATGTGATTCTGAATCCACATAAGGCCAGGTATCCATCTAGTGGAGGCTAAAAACCATTAGATAAGAATTATCTCAATATCTCAGTGATCATTTATTAATCACTAACTGTATGCCAGGCACTGTGCCTTGTGTTTTTTATGACAACTTCTGACTTTACAATACATAATCTAATTTCACAAATTTGTCCAAAGTCGTTAGCTAAAAAAGAAAAAAAAGGAAGTGCTGAAACTCATACTTGGATTATCTCATGCCAAAACCCATCCTCTTTCTGCTATTACTACTCTGTAACAGGGAGGGTATTAATCAGGATTGATTTTTGAGGCTTGTTCTTGGGAAAGAATAGCGTATCCATTAGGATTGTATTCAATTGCTTGTGACACAGCCCCTGGTGTGTTGCCCTGTGTCTTAAAACAGCTGCTCCTCCTCCAACTTTACAAGCACCTCACAGCAGGAAGGAAACAGAAGGAGAAATGCGGTGGCAACTGTATTAGGAAAGTACAATCTCAGGATGTGCTAGGCAACTTCCTCCTACATCTCAGTGGCCAGAATCAAGTCATCTTGACTGTCCCGCAAAGATCTCTGGGGAGATGAGCATTCCCGCCCCCCGCCCCGCCCCCACTCCACCTATTGCCTTTCCTAACAAAATCTGGGTTCTCCTAGAAAGGGGAAATGGAGATCAGGAAGGCAGTGAGCAATGTCTGCCCCATGAAGAATATTTGGCAGATCAAAGATGTTGGGGGAGGAATAGTTACCTCAGAAGTGCTACAGGATCAGGGGCATTCTAGGGGCTCTGGGCACCACTGTTGAATTTTGTTGCAAGAAAGGCAAGGAAATGTAGTCTTTGTTCTAAGTGGTCCTAGGATCCAGCTTCAGTTCTGTTATCGTGGAAGGAGAGAAGAGACATTGGGGAACAACCAAGGGCTCTGCCTCAGTCCCTCCACAGGCCCCTGAGACAGGGTTTCTCCTTGGGAAGGCGTCTGATGCGCACAGCCACCAGCTCTGGAATCTTTTCCAGACAGGCGGAGCCTGAGGGCAGTTGCTGACACAGGCTTTGGGAATGGAGGGAAAGCAGAAGGCACTCCGGGGATATCTGGGGATGCTGGGAGCACCTGAAGACAAATTCAGCCTGCTGGATTGGCCTGGAAAGTGTCAGTAAGAGTGAGGCTAGCCCCTCGGAGTCCCCTCTTCCCAACTCTGTCACTAGTAAGTCTTCATTTCGTTCTTGGGGGAGTAATAACCCTACCTTGTAGGGCGGGTGTGAGCTTAGTTTCAAGCGATGCATGTCCAGCTCCTGTTTTAATATACACTCCATAGATGGCAGCTGTTATTTTTTATAGGAGCATCATCTGGCCCCCCACGGCCCCGGCTCTAACTCAGCTGACATCCTCTCCTTCTCAGCTATACTGACTCACATACCATTCCTCTTACCAGAATATGCACGCCCTGCCTAGCTTTCTGCTTCTGGCTTTGCTCACGGTGGAATCCCGGCTGGAACGCTTCACATGCCGGTGAATCCTGTAGTCCTTCATGACAGCTCACCTCTCCCCTTCAGGGACTCTTCTCTGGGGAGGTCCTCGGTTCCCTTGGCAGCGCGCACTTACTTCTACCACCGCTCGGTTCTTACTGCACCCTCTGGCGGGCGTTTACTAGATTCCTTGTAAAGCCAGGCCAGGCTCTCTGAGAGGTTAAGAGAGGCTCAGGCCAACTCCCCTCGTTCAGGGCTCTGCATGAAAAGGAGGAGGAAATTGTGCCACATTTTAAATGTTTAAACGACTGGCAAATTGTAGGTATTCAACAAATACTTACTGAATAAATACAACATTTTAGCACCGTTGTTGACGAAAAATAAGACAATGCAATACAATTGTGCTATTTGCAAATGTGCTATTTGCAGATTTTTATATAAAAAGGTGAATTCATAGTGCACTACAGGCAGTTGCTTGGTGGCATGCATGTTTCAAGCTCTGTCACCCTGTGTGTACCTTCATCTGGAGACAACTGCCAATGGTCCCCTGCCCACCCTGCAGATATAGGAGCTCCCTGGGTTGGGGCTAGGGCCTCCAGGCCTGGTACGTGGAAGGGGGTCTCACTGAGCCGCGGGAGGCTCCGGCTCTCCCCATCCTCCATCGCCTTTCGCCCCCCCGCCAGCAGGCGGCGTCCCTCCGGCCAGCCTCCCACCGGGGTCGCGACGGGGCGTGCGCGCTCACAGGCTGCCCGGCTCGGACGCCCGCACTTCCTGGTCGGAACGGGCCTAGCGGCGGCGGGGTCCCACCGCACTCTCAGGGGCCGCGCTCGCTGCCCCCGCCCTCCTCCCGCTAACGCTCGGGGCGGAGCCGGGCGGGCGCGCGGGGCTCCCGCCCCTCTCCCGGCGGTCACCTGGGGCCCGGCGCAGCAGGTGTCTGGTCTGGCGTCCCGCGCCGGGGACTCGGAGCGCGAGCCGGGACCCTCGACGCGTCGGGTGAGTGCGAGGGCCGGCGGTCCGCCGCTGCTTGCCCGCCCCGGGCTTCGGGTGGTCGTTCCACCCGCGCCGCTCGCGGCTTCTCCGGCGGGCGCTGGGCGCGTCGAGGAGGGAGACGAATTTCTCTTTCAGGGATTCAGAGGCTGGCGTTTCTCCACCACTTAAGAGATCGCGGAGTGCGGCGGGGGCCCTTGGCGGAAAGCTGCAGACGCCGGAGCCTCACCGCTTGGGCTTGGGGGTTATCGCGTAGTCTCCGCGCCGGCTGTCTGTCGTGGGTTTGGGGTCCGGGGGCCCGGGGATGAAAGCCGGTGGCCTGGGTTGGCCAGATGCTCGCACCCTGTCTCTCCAGTGGAGATGGCTTTTAAACATGATAAAATAGGTGCTGTTTTCGAAATGATGTATGTAATTTTTATTCTTCTGGCACCCAGGGGTGGGTGTAATCAGTCACGTACACAGACGCACGTGTGTTCGTTGGGGCGGACTCTGCGTTCCCTCTCCTCGCCTTTCGGCGTTGGGGACTGAGCCCCCGCGCGCCCGGCGCTGGGATTAAGCCTCACGGTTTTTGCGGGGCCGTGTGTTCGCGGAGACCGTGGCGTCCTGGCTGGCTCCTCTGCCCTGGCTGGCTCAGAATTCTCCCTCGATAACCTGGGACTGCCCTCCGGAACTCGTTAGCTGAAGCTGCCTTTTCTCACCTGAGCAGGTGAGCCCAGGGACTTGGCGGCAGGGCCCACCCCCGGAATTCCAGAGGCGACCGCAAGGACCCAGCTGGCGGAGGAAGGTCCAGCAGGGAGGGAACGCGCTCGCTTCGCCCCACCTTGTGCAAATGACTCGGGTAAGGCGGGGGTGTGCTCAAACCCCAGAAATAAACCCACACGGATCAGAATTGCGAAGGACACGTGATTGAGCGTTGGGCTCTGAGAATTGCTAATAATCGCTCGGGTCAAATCGTTTCGCTTCTACTTTAAAGATTTTTTTTTTTAACTTCTTTAATTATAGAAACGACTGCTTAATATACGTATCTGATTTTCTTGACAAGCCTCTCAGACTGGAATCTTCTTGTGGCATCCGCGGTATTGAATTATTGGGAATTGCCAGTAGAGATCAGCCTGGCCGCTCTGAGAATCACTGGGAAGGAGAACCTGCAGTTTAAACACTGTTGAAGAGATCTGACACGCAATGCAATGTGCGAATGTTGGTTGGATCCTGAAGGAAAAAAGTTCATAAAAAATTGAGCTGATAAAGGAATTTTTACTGGCTAGTCGATAGTATTAAGATTGGCTTTGTTATTTTTGGTGATGGCATTATGATTATGGTTTTTTTTTTTTTTAAGCTTTATCTTTTAGAAATACATACTGAAGTTGAAATACAGGTGGAGGATTTGCTTCGAAATAATTTAGTTTGGGGGAGCGCTGCTAGTGGAAAAGTGAGGGGGGGGAGCTCCAGAGGAGATTGGCTGTGAGTTGTCGCTAACGGGATGAAGGGTGGAGTATGGAATTCCTTACACTATTGTCTCTACTTTGGTATGTTTGGCATTTTCCTTTAAAAGTAACACCACCACCATCACCACCAATGGAACTTTATTTTTGCAGAAGGTAGGTTTGGAAGGCACTGCTGGTGTTTCTAGATTCCAGACCTTCGTTCTGCAGACCCTCACTCTTTGTAAATCGGGTGTAAAGCCTGCCTCTCCAGACTCATTAAAAAGTCGTCTTTTTCTCCCTCCCGCGGAGCTGCTTTATTATTATCTTTGGGTTTTTTTGCTCTGAAGGCATCGGGTGTTGCTGAGTGTGACCGAGCTGAGGGGATCAAGTTGATGCAGGTGGATGCTGGGTCAGCTTTTTTTATACAAAGAGTATTAGCAAGCTGGAGATTGAATTGTGTGCCAACAGACAGGTTGTGTAAAATGTGTTAGCAATTTTTCTGAACTGCCCAAATACTTTCCAAGTTATGCTCATCAAAAAAACAGAGCTCAGAGTAGTAAACACACGACTTACCCACTTAAGATGTGTGTATACTTGTGGAAGCATGCTATACATCAATAAAAAGTGTACATTATAAAAACAAATCACAGGGTCAGTGGAGATGTACTTACTGCCTGAAAGAGATCTTATCTGTTTGTATTGTCCTTTTCACCTTGTTTGCCTCAGGCATCATGATGTGTAAATATTTAGCAAAGAATTGACTCCTAAAACATTCTGCCCTGTTCTTTTTGCTTTCCAAGAACCTGCTTTGAAGGAGAGGGACGTGGGCAGTAATATCTATATAGTCATCCAACTTGCTCATTTTTTTTCTCTAGATTTATCATACAATTCCTACTCATTCTGTCATGCTTGATTAGTAATTTGGGAATGTGGCGATTGCGTGAGGGGGCTGTTAAAATTTGGGTTGGGGAGAGGCATACTGCTAAAAAATAAACCTGCATTTCTTAGTAGCTTCGGTGGAACTGACTATAATGCCTCTTTGCTTTTAAGAGAAAAACTAAGTAAATGATACTGTGATCGTTGAAAGTTGAAGTGCTAGATCAACCTAGCCCTTGCTGGTGTGGTTCCACTAGTGGAAAGAAGTTGTAAAGATGCCGTAAGTCAGTCCGTGGAGGAAATGCCAAAGCATGTCCCAGTTTTGTCACAGGGTGTGGGAAAATGAGAACTGACAAAAATCCCTTACAGTTGGAAAATGTCATAGTGAATTTTTGATGATACTTAAGTGTAGCCGTTTGGCCTGTGGCTCAGTTTTCTTTGTGTGGGTAAAAGAAAGATGCAGCTGGTTAAGTGACTTTATTTTCTACCTCAGTTCTCTGAAACAAGAATGTGGAGAGAGAAAACAAACTTGCTGGGCCCTTAAGTGACCGGTCAGTGACCTAATGTTTCCTGGCCTCTGTGTGAGGGTGGGGGGGATTCAGCCCTGAGGAGTTGATTGCTAATAGCAGTTTTAAGGAATGACTACAACTGTGATTCCATCTTCTGCCCGCATCACGTTATGGAAGGGTAGAAACACATTAGGGAAGCAAATTAGTGCTTTGTTGGCCTTGAAATGAGAGGAAAAGCTGTTGGCAATCAGGTCAATCATACTTCTCTAGTTTGTAAGCACCCTGCTTTCATCTGCACCACTTCATGCCATCCTGTGGGGTTAGAACAGCGGTGCTGGAGCATGATTCTAGTTTCTAACAGATGAGGACAATGAAATCTAAAGAAGCTAAGACTCAGCCAAGTCAATTCTTTAGAGATATGGGGGAAAGAAATTTGGCATTTATGAAGGGTTCATGGTAGTCTTCACACACACACACACACACACACACACACACACACACACACGTTTTTTAAGTCTCACAAATCTCTCAGAGTTGGTCTCATCAGCCATTTTGCACATGGAATTGTAGCTAAGAGGGGTTGGTTAATAGTTCACTTGAGGCCTTGCATCTAGTAAGAGTAGAGCCAGGATTCAAACTCAGATCTGTTGAATTGTAGTGTTTACATGATTCTCCAGCCTCTGTGTTGTCCACACTGCCTTTTTTATTTTATTATGTTATGTTAGTCACCATACATTACATCATTAGTTTTTGATGTAGTGTTCCATGATTCATTGTTTGCGTGTAACACCCAGTGCTCCATTCAATACGTGCCCTCTTTAATACCCATCACCAGGCTAACCCATCCTCCCACCCCTCTCCCCTCTAGAACCCTCAGTTTGTTTCTCAGAGTCCATAGTTTCTCATGGTTCACCTCCCCATCCGATTTCCCGCCCTTCATTTTTCCCTTCCTGCTATCTTCTTCTTCTTTTTTTTTAACATATAATGTATTATTTGTTTCAGAGGCACGGGTCTGTGATTCACCAGTCTTACTTCACAGTGCTCACCATAGCACATACCCTCCCCCACTGTCTGTCACCCAGCCACCCCATCCCTCCCACCCCCACCACTCCAGCAGCCCTCAGTTTGTTTCCTGAGATTAAGAATACTGCCTTTTGCAGACAGCTGAGCTCCACACCCGAGTTGGTTAGCCTAGGCAAGCCGTCTTTTATTGACCACTCTCAGCTGCCTTGGATGTTTTATCAGGCCAGCAGAGTTAAAATTGAACCAGTGGTGCAGATTGGGAGATTGAAATATTCTGTGCCCAGGGATTCCCAAAGGCAGTACGGAGCAGCCTCCTCCCTGGCGCAGAGTAGTGCCCCGGGTTCCCCTGGTCTCCGCTACTCCCTGAAGCGTCTGCCATCTCGAGGCAGGGCCCCACACATCGGCGATGCTGTTTCTCCCACAGTGAGCAGTCTTTTTGTGGATGCCTCTGTCCAAAAGGGGATAACAAAAATAGGTCGAGGGGCGCCTGGGTGGCTCAGTCAGTTAAGCGCTGCCTTTGGCTCAGGTCACGATCCCAGCTGGGATCAAGTCCCACATCAGGCTCCCTGCTCAGCGGGAAGTCTGCTTCTCCCTCTCCCTCTGCTGCTCCCCCTGCTTGTGTGCTCGCTCGCTCTCTAATAAATAAATAAAATCTTTAAAAAAAAAAAAAATAGGTCGAGAGGCTCTTGTCCCAAGAAAAATGGGAAAGTGCATATTCATTTGAGGGAATGAAGAGTCTTGTTTTCTCTGCAGTGTTTGCATGTCAGAGGTACAAGGTACGTCATTTCCCTGCACCCTGCCTGCTTGGGCTTATCACACACAACTTTAGTTCCTGTCCCTGCTCTACAACACAGATGGAGTGCTGCATTGTGGGCAAGCCACAGTGGAGAAAAGGAATGCCCCCAATACCCAAACCACTAACTCTTTGTGAGTGGGAGTATGGGTCTTGTGCACCTTGGGATTCCCCAGGGTGTCCCGTGGGGATAGGGATCCACTGGGATCCACCTGGATCCTGGAGCTTGGGTGTTGGCTCTCTGGAACTGCTCTGAGGGTTCTGAGGACTTGCAAGGGTACTCCCCACCCTCCGTTCCTGCCCACCCATCTCCAGCCTGGGACAGGTCTGCTACACGCTGCTTGCTTACACACAGCCCCATCCAAGGGCTCTGCAGGAATGAGGAACTGGATGCCCACAGCCCAGCCGTTGAGAGATTTCTGTGATACAAGTTGAAGGATGGCCCAATTTCCTCATCTTGACACTTTCAGTTAAGGGTCATGGAACAGATGTTCTCACCTCTGTCTATATCTGGAGTTTTATTACAGTTGAAGCTTCTGTTTTGATCTTTGTTTCCTTCCCCTGCAGTCTTGAGTGTTCACAGATCGGGTGTGGGGGGGAGGGTCAAAAAGGAAGAGAAAATACCACAAATGGAACCTCGTGGAGTGGTTTTGAGGAAATGTCAGGTGATGTTTTGGGGTCTGTCACTAGAACTGTCTGTAGGCATATACATACAGTAAGGTGATAGAAAAGAACAAGTGAGGGCTGTAAGTAGAATGCCTTGTTTAGTTGAGAGACACAAGTTTAGAGACTGAGGTGTTTGGGAAATGCTAGACTAGCCAGTTGATTGGATCCTTTCAGAACTCAGATTCAGGTTTGTGGGTGCGTGCTCCTTCAGATAGGAGATTACTGAGTCCCTGGTCAAACAGACAGATGGCAAGGGAAAGCGGCTGATTGGTTATTGGCCAGACCTAACAGAGGTGAGGTGGAGGGATCCTGGGTGTGGACTGTAGCCAGATCTCTGGATTTATTTCTGGTTTTTCTACCTAGCTGTGTGTCCTTGACCAATTTTTTTTTTTTAACCACTCTGAGCCTCAGTTTTCTCCTGTGCAAAACGGATGTAATAATAATCCCCATCTTGTAGAGCTGTGTGGATTCCATGGCACATCAAGCCTTACGGAATAAGGATTCACCGGGGTTTAGCTATTATTGTTGTTGGTAGAGCCCTGCCTCC